GGGGGCCCTGCTGGAGGGAGGGGGCCTGGTTCTACCGAAGGCGCTCCCAGCCTAGAAAGCGGTGCCTGCGTTCATCCGCCGACAGCGCTGGCCTGTGCCTGCCGGGGTCCCCGCTGGGGGACAGTTCCTGTCCTGGAGACTTCGTTCCGGGGGAGAACTAGGCAGTAGATACTCAGAAATCGAGACAGACTGTAAGTCGGCTACGGAAACAGAGCCAAGGAGGGGAGGGGAAGGCATTCCGGGCAAAGGGCAGGGAAGAGCTAGCAACTGGGACGCGGCCACTGGATTGGAGAGGCACAGCGGAACCTGATAGGCTTTGGGGGATGTTGCCTTTTATCCTAAGAAGAATGGTAATCCCTGAGGAGTGATAAGATTTAAGGTTTGCTTGAAGTTTCAAGATTCGTGTTAAAAACAGCTTGGCTGTGTAGGGATCGGAGTGTGTTGGGTGGGACTGGCCCTGCGGAGCTGGTGTGGGGAAGGAGGAAGTCGGGAGGGGGGTGAATGCTATGAGTCTGGCATGAGGAACCCGGAGGCTGGAGATGCCATTTGTCAAACAACAATGGAGGAGGAGCCAGGTGAGGACTGAGGTGCCTGCGGGACATCCAGGCAGCCCAGCTGGGTTCCCTAGGCTGAGCTGAAGGCGGGACTGAGCTAGGCATTGGAGAGCCATGGGTGTCTGGATGGCCTTTCACACACTCTACGTAGTGTTTATCAAGGTGCTTGGACACTGGAGTGAGGTAGGCGCTTGTGAGGCGAGGTCTGGAGCCTCAGTTTAGCACCATGTGGCTCACAAAATGCTCCCCCTTGAGGGGGATGTGGCCCAGCCAGCCACGTCCAGATGCAGGGGTTGTTGGGAGACCTTCGTATGCCAGGTGTTTCCTTTGCTCAGAACCTGTTTTCTTTCAGATCCTGTCCACCATGGCCAGGCGCCCGCGGAGCAGCAGAGCATGGCATTTTGTCCTGAGTGCAGCCCACCGAGACGCAGATGCCCGGGCCATGGCTCTGGCAGGGACCACTACCTGGGGCTATGACTCTGATGGGCAGGTAGGTGGGTACTGCTGGACTAAGGTGCGGAGACCCCTCCGCAAGAAGCCCCGGAGGACAGAGGGCAGTAGGACCCTACTGCTCACCCCGGGTTTACCCTGGTTAAGGATCCACATGGCCCTGGGGTGACAGGACCTCGGGGTAGATCCCCATTCCTCTCTCTACACTTTCCACTGAAGAGGGTGGCAGTTGGTTCTTTGGTCGGTTCATTCAACAGAATCTCTCCATTCCATTTCTTATAACCAGTTTCCGAAGGTAGCTGTCGTTAACTCCATTGCACTCTCCTGGGCGGTTCCCCTGCCTGTACAGCTACGTGCTCTATATTTGTGTATGTGCATGTGAAACGATCTTTAGTCTTGGAGACCACACTTCTTGTGCCTTCTCCCTCTCAATTGCTCCCAAGTTCTGGTTGGAACAGCAGCTCAGCTGTTGGTCTCAGTGCAGGCTGCCTGGTGTACCTGAGGGCTCTGCAGCCAGAGGCTGGATGTACGGACCCTGGGAACAGCTGAGCGGTGTGGCTTTTGTGCCCACTTCAGGGAGTGGTGGGAAATAGATTTCCAGTCATCTTCCAAAATCTCTTAGACGAGAGCAAGGGGTTGGCCCTGCCCTGAGTCACCTCCACTGCTTCCTGCTGGGGTGATCTTGAGGTGACTTGTCTGTGCCGTCACAGGCACTCTGCATGTTCCCATGGCTCAGCCAGGCATCCTGGGGATAGTGGGTGGGCACCTCTTGTCCCTTGAGTGAGGGCAGCTAAGCCTTGTGGAACTGCCAGGCCCTGATGGAGAATTAAAAGTGACTGTTCTGAATGGACAGAATCCTGGGAGTCTCCCCAAAATCGCTGCCCAGGCCAGCAAGGTCCTGGCCTGCATTCCTGTCTCTCTCCCAGCTCCTGTCCTGGCCATGTGGCCTGGAGCAGTCTGTTTTCCTGTGTCTGTTCCTCCCTCACTGGCTCATCACTCTGGGATGCAGGCAGTGTTGGGCGGCTGGGGTACAAGTGTTTGACACATGCTTGCGTGCAGCCTGCCCCATCACCTAATTGGCCTGGAGTATTTGTGTGGGCGAGCAGGTGGGTGTGTCACCTTGGCATCCTTGAAGACTAAACACACACCACCGTTCCCTCTGGCTTGCCGAGGGGCTGGGTCTGCCCCCTGCCCAGCTTGACCTCCAGGCCTTCGGTACTGAGGCCTGTGCTCCTGGCTGCTGACTCTGGGAAGGGGGCTGCCTATGGCTGGCAGTGTGCCTGCCTTGGCTTTTGGGAGATCACCGTTCCTTGATAGTGGGGTGATTTGGGCCTGCCTCCAGTCTCCTTTCTGGGGCTGTCTCTGATTGGAGTTCAACCCTCTTAGTCTCTCCAGTTGGTTTATGAGCTTCTGCATGGGCCTTGGGTAGAATAGGAAGAAACAAGGACGAGGCCTTTCCCCTGCAGAGCTTCTGTTTTGGTTGGAGGAGTCAGAGCAACAGGACAGAGGAGACTGTCAGAAGCAGGTGAGGAGGAAGAGGACTCAGGAGGGAGGGCCAGAAGAGCCTCTTTGAGTGATATCTGAAAGCTGCCATCCAGGGGCAAAGAGCTCTCCCTCATGACAGGTGGGGGAAGAGGGGAGGGACCAGGGCAGGTAAGCTCTGATGGGGGTATGTGGGCTTCATGCTCAGGGTGGCATGATCTGCCTAGGTCTGAGCAAGGTCACTGGGCTGCTTTGCAAAGGGTTTCAAGGAGGCAAGAGGAATACCCGGGGTGGAGGCTGGAGCCTAACCAGGACCCTGAGCCAACCCAAGAGGGCTTACAGAGCAGGCAGGCAGAGGCCTGGGGTCCAGAGTCAAGGCAGATATCCAGAGGGGCCTGTGTGGCTTCAGAGCAGGAACGACTAGGTGCACAGAGCATCTCTTGCTGGCTTCCAGGAGAGGGTGGGTCAGCAGTTGCTAGAACCTGACCAGCTCAGCCTAGGATCAAGCCCAGGACCGAGCCCCTCAGGTAGAGGGACAGCCCCCTGTCCCCGCCCCCCGAATGTTTTCCTACTACAGAAGTTGGAAGCAGCATGAAACCCCTGGCTCCTTAGGGCTCTGGGGTGGGGGTTAAGAACCACCTGTTGCAAGGATGATAAAGCCACTGCAGTCAGGAATGTGTGCCAGCACTACCACAGCCCAGCTGCTGCCTGTGGGGAGGCCCAGGCTTCACTAGGGCACCAGTGGACTTTGCCAGGGGCCCCCCTTCTTCAGGCCATCCTTGATGGGGACAGCTTACCTGTGATCTAGAAACTGGCTGCAGAACGATGGCCAAGCATATAGCACTGCTGTGGGCTCATCAGTGCCTGGGTCCCCGGGCCCCCTGGCTGTGTAGAAATGGGGTTGGCCTTGAAGCCCACTCTCGGGAACCCAGCAGCATGGTAGGCCCTCCCCATACCTGAGCCAGGAGGTGTGCAGTCACTCTGGGAGCACTGTAGAAGCATGGTCCGGCTGTGCCCTTGGGAATCCCTTTGAGGCTAAACTTGGGGCATCAGCAGTTCACCCATTGGCCTAAGATGGGTATTGTGGCAGGTGGAGGGCAGAAGCACAGTAGGGGGAACAGCCTGCCCTTTTTTCTCAGCACAGTGACTCTGACTCTGACCCTGAGTACTCGTCCCTGCCAGCATCCATCCCCAGTGCTGTGCCTGTGACGGGTGAGTCCTTCTGCAACTGTGATAATCAGAGCGAGGCCTCCTTCTGCAGCAGCCTGCACACAGCTGCGCACCGGGGCAAGGACTGCCGCTGTGGGGAGGAAGATGAGTATTTTGATTGCGCGAGGGGTCACTGGGCTTGCTGGGGCAGATCTCTAGGCCAGATGAGGACGCAGCAGGGGTTCGAGACTACCCCAACCTGGCCTTTCCTCGCCTAGATTTTTTTTTAAATTTTTTTTATTAAGTTATTACATAAGTGTCTTTATCCCCACTCCTCTCCTAGATTTTGATTGGGTCTGGGATGACTTGAATAAGTCCTCAGCCACCCTGCTGAGCTGTGACAACCGGAAGGTCAACTTCCATGTGGAGTACAGCTGCGGCACAGCGGCCATCCGAGGCACCAAGGAACTAGGGGAGGGGCAGCACTTCTGGGAGATCAAGATGACCTCACCTGTGTACGGCACTGATATGGTAAGTGACAGGCAGGGCCGTGGGGGGAGGAGCTCTGCTGGTGTCCTGGCCCCGGCCCCCCTCTGCCTGGCCTGTTGTCTCCAGATGGTGGGCATTGGGACGTCGGATGTGGACCTGGACAAGTACCACCACACGTTCTGCAGCCTGCTTGGCAGGGATGAGGACAGCTGGGGCCTCTCCTACACAGGTATGTGGGGCCCCTAAGGGCAGGCATGCTGGGAGGGGGCCCCAGACATCAGGCTAACCCCTTGCCTCCTGCTGCCCCCTAGGGCTCCTCCACCACAAGGGCGACAAGACAAGCTTCTCCTCGCGGTTCGGCCAGGGCTCCATCATTGGCGTGCACCTGGACACCTGGCATGGGACACTGACCTTCTTTAAGAACAGGAAGTGCATAGGTGAGGGTGTCCAGGATCCCAGGGGAGACAAAGACCTGTGGGGTGTGGCTGCTACTGAGGTCCTGTAGGAAGCAGAGACGGGCCCAGGCTGAGTGGCCCTAAGGCTTCCCAAAAAGATATCCTTGAAGAAAGAAGCCTGAGGTCCCAGGGTCTCCAGAGGGTGGGACAGCACAAGGGCCACCCTAGTTATCTCAGGAGGATGTCCAAAGAATGGCTAAGCCCCCTCCTGGCCCAGGATTCAGGCTGTGCCCCCTCTAGGTGTGGCAGCCACAAAGCTGCAGAACAGGAAGTTCTATCCAATGGTGTGCTCCACCGCGGCCAAGAGCAGCATGAAGGTCATCCGCTCCTGTGCCAGCGCCACCTCCCTACAGTACCTGTGTTGCCACCGCCTGCGCCAGCTACGACCCAACTCTGGGGACACGCTTGAGGGCCTGCCCTTGCCACCTGGCCTCAAGCAGGTGCTACAAAACAAGCTGGGCTGGGTCCTGAGCATGAGCTGTGGCCACCACAAGTCCCCCATGCCCTCACCCAAAGCCACGGTCAGTCCCAACAGCCCAGAGACCCGGCGCTGCCAGAGAAAACGCTGCCGAAGGACCTAACTTATTTTCCAATGAAAACTGCCTCCTGAGGCGAGGACAGCATTTTCTCCATCTTTTCCCTCAGGCCATGCTCCAGAGTAACAGGAGAGGGAGGAGTTGGGCCAAGGTCTGTCTGGGCCGTCCCCCTGCCCTCAGAGGCTAGGTCAGGCCTTGCCGCAAGTTCAGAGGCCGCAGGCCCTGGGATCCTGAGACCAGAACTGAATCCATCTGTTTCCTGTGCGGGGTATGGCAGTGGCTGCTTCTCTCCTTGGAGTCTCTTATGAGTGGCCACACCAGCTCTTCTGGACTGAGTCTGCTGGCCTGGAGGCTGTAGTCTGTGGCCTCATCAGATGTCACCTTTCCTGTAGCTGCCAGCCTTCGGGGACCTTGGGTTTGTCCTCACTTGCTTTGCATGTTGTCAGTTGTTCCTCCTGTCTGAGACTGAAACGATCGTAATAAACTCTGAGTTTATACCTAACACCTCCATAGTGGTAGCATTAAAAGGAGTCCACATCAAGACCTTTTCTCCCGTGGTCCTGGTTGTGTTGCAATACCCTTGGGGAAGAGGCAGCCTGGCTCTCTTTTCTCCCCTGAGACTCTGTCTCACTTCTCTCTGAAAGTGCCACCCCCACGCCTCCAGGTGATGGTGCATGTCCCCCAGCAGGGACTTAGGTGCTACCCAACTCTCCCCGCTGTCCCCGTTGGCCCCAGGCCTGCAGCCAGTGTGCGCAGGGCCCTGCCCCAGCCTCCAGCCCCACGTGGAGTTTCTTCTGCTCATCGTTACCCAGAGCCTTTCCTCTCCCTGCGCCTCCCCTGGGTTCAGACCTGGCTGAGCCCCTCCCCAGGCTGAGGGACAGCTGTGCTGGGTGAGCTCTTTCCCCCCCGCCCCTTTGGTTTCTGGTCTCTCCCTTGTTGGGGTGCCTTCTGTTCAGTTGGTGGGAGAAGGCCCTGCAGGTCAGGAGCTCAGATCCAGCAGGAGGTCAGGGTTGGTGGAGGTCAGGAAGAGGCAGATGCGACGGGAAAGGTCAGGCCCCACCCTTCGGGGCCGAGCGCCTTCATCCACCTTCACGGGGAGATCAGCCAGGAGGGCCAGGCGCTCTTGATCAGTGCTGCAGGCCAAGTACGCCTAGGGCAGGCACAGGGATGAGCAGGGCAGGCCGCGGGGACCTGGCCTCCATGTCTGGGAGTCTAGGAGGGGGCTCACCTGCTGCAGAAGGCGGGGAGAAGGGAAGGCAGTGACAACAGCGTCAGCCACAGCCGGGCTGACTCGGTTGAACTGCCTAATCTGTCGCCACCAGGCCCCCCGAAGCCCTGTGCCATCTTTTGTCACGCGCTCGCCTGCCACCCAGCGCCCAGCCGTGCAGAAGGAAAAGGTCCCGGACTGTTGGAACTGCCTGATGGGGAGAGAAAAGGGGGGTTTCTAGAGGCTTCATCTCTCCTGACCACCCAGTCCCCCAGCTCAGCCCTCTGGCCTTAAGAGGCCCGGGAAGTACCACCCCTCCAGGTGTTCCTGTGAACACTCCCAATAGCAGCCACCAGCTGAAGTGGGGGTCACGCACTTGAAGGGGCGCTGGGCGAGGGCCTTAGTGAAGGCGCACACGTGCTGACTCAGCTCCTGCCAGGAGGCCACCAGCAACACATCCAGGTTTGCCCAGAGCTGCAGGAGCACCAGGGCCTGAGGAGGACACAAACCCATGAGGATGGCTCAGAGGAGGGCTCCCCTGGGGGACACCTAGCTGAGACCAGCCTCACATGCCACCCTGAGATCACACCTCAGAGACCAGCCTGTCAGGGCCAAGGCCAACCACCTCACCCAACCTGCTCTGTCCTCACCTCCTCCACTTCAGGCCAGCCGACCGCCGCCACTGCACGGGCCACCCCTGGACTCTCTGGCTGCTGCATCTCCTGGGCATTGGGCTGGTGAGACCTGAACAGAGGTGACTGTCCCTCCAGATCCCCATATCCCATTGGTCCCACCCTCCTTGAGTTCTGCTTCCTCCACTGCCCACCCAAGGGAGGAGTTTAGCAGCCCCAGAGCTACCGCGATCTTTTCCCTGAACTCCCCCACCCCAGCCAGGCCTGCTCGGTGTGAGGGTGACTGGTACCACAGGTAGGCATCCAGCCCGATGACAGCCAGGTGAAGGCAGGTGGGGCTCTCAGGAGAGATCCAGGGCACTGAACAGGCTGGGCCACAGATCTGCAAGCCAAGAAGGTTTACCACCCCTGTTCCTTGGGGCTGCGGTAGGCAGGGCTCACCAGACTACGGCCAGTTTGCAGAAAGGAGAGCAAGAACAACACTGTGGTGCTGGGAGGAGACTGGAGCAGACTTCCTCTGCCCAGTCAGCTTTCTTTAGAAAACCAGCTGTGTGCCTCTCAGGAGGTCAAGGGGACCTACAAAAGCCCCCATTCCCATTCTTGGTCCACTCTGCATCCCAGCCTGGCAGCAGGTACTTGATAAATGCTGAACCTCAGACAGAGGGTCTAACCCAGGGGTGGGCAAACTTTTTGACTCGAGGGCCACAATGGGTTCTTAAACTGGACCGGAGGGCCGGAACAAAAGCATGGATGGAGTGTTTGTGTGAACTAATATAAATTCAAAGTAAACATCATTACATAAAAGGGTACGGTCTTTTTTTTTTTTTAGTTTTATTTATTTCAAACGGGCCAGCCCGCGGGCCGTAGTTTGCCCACGGCTGGTCTAACCTAATGACCCTCTGGCACAAACATCAGCTGAGCAGTCCCTATTGCTCCTTTAGCCAGGTGGGGTCTGGGCTGGTGGCTCTCATAGCTGGACTGCACAGCCAACTCGCAGCCCAAGTCCCCAGGCCCCCTCTTACCGGTTCCCCACTTCTGGCTTCTGACTCTCCAGAGCGCCCTCGTTATCCTTGCTGCTGCCCTCTAGAAGCAGCTGTGGCTCCCGTCTGCTCCCAGGCCAAGAGCCCAGCTGTCTTCCCTCATCTCATTCACATCTTGGCTGCTGAACAGAGAGGAGCCCCAGCCCACTGCATGCCCTCTCAACCCCTCTGTCCTTGATCAGGCCTGGCAGAACAGCACATCCAGACTGGGAACCCAGCCCCCCTCCAAGCACCTGGGTCAGCTGGAAGACACCCCGCAGAAACTCCTCAGGCTCCAGCAGCAGCAGAAGTTCATGCTCACCCGCAGCCCACACTTCAGGAGGCACCTGCAGGGATACCCAGGGGTACTGCTGCTCATCCTGAGACTCAAGTGTCCCAGGGCCTTGGCACGGGCAGCACAGTACCTTGAGGCTCATGGCCACAGGCATGTGCCCATGCCCACAAAGATCTACAGAAGCCAAGATGATCTCCTACCACGGCCAAGACCAGCCCTGGTCCAAGGGCCGGCAGGAGCACTGACCACAGCATCAGTGGGGATGGAACATTCCTCAGCACCAGATGAGTTCAGGCCCTGGACTCGGGCCTGCAACTGACCATTGCAGTGGCTTGGGCATCACCCACTCAGCATTCCCCATTCTGAGCTTATGTGCATGATTACAGCAACCGCCTCATGAAATCACAGTGGCAAAACACCCAACCCAGGGCCGCACTAGGTAAACCCTGGAAATGAGGCTGCTGGGGCACTCACACTGCAGGGGCAAGGTTCTGGCTTCACTCTGCTCCACCTGAGGCTCCGGGCGGGGCGCTGGGGCTCGATGTGGTACTCACAGCCCAGGGAGCCCAAGGCCTCCATCAGGATGTCAGCACCAGCATCTTCCAGGATGGCTAGGGTGAGCGGAAGAGAAGCTGTCATTCCTCTCCCTCCACGTGAGGATGCTGCTCACAGCAGACCCCCAGCCTGGGCGGCGAATGACAAACACGCCGATGCTGCCGGCTCCAAGAGCGCCATAGGTCCAGCTCCCGGAATCTTTTCATCAAGCTCCCCAGCGGGAAAGCCGGCGCCAATTCTTGGCCAAGAGGCGGCCTTGACAGAGGCCCCTCTCGCCCCGCAGTGGGCCGGGGACAACCTCCCAGCGATTAAGAGCTTCCAAAACCCAAGCTCCGGCCGAAGTGCGGCTTCTCCCGGGACACCTGCCCCCGCCCTCGGGCGCACCTGGGTCCACGCGCACCGCCAG